ACGAGTAATTGCGACGGTATAGATCGTTCACGGAATTGTAATTTAATCAATATAGAGGCGGGTAATAATAATGTGGCTTTCATTCTCTTCCTTACGATTGAATACGGCTTATATGAATAATACTGTGAGAAGAAAATACAACGATTTATGACTATTTTTTTGTTTTTAAGGAAATACTACTTGGGAGCTTCTACTGAGACCTCAAGAGTTGATTTTTATTGAAGGTAAAATCGTCTGCTTATAAGTTTGCAAATACGTACTAAAAATCGTTACCGATATTAACTATTTATTTTATTTTCTCGATTTCTCCTATTTACAAAATAACGAAAATAACCCAAAATCGAGTGTTGTACTACGTCGGATACCACAGCATTCATCGGGGCAAGATCGAGTTTTACAGCGCACAGCACTCGGCATATACAGCACAATCTCGGGAGGAAGACCTATAATGAATTATTTACCGTGCTCTAGGCAAAATTCTCAATAATCTCAATAATCCAAGTATATTAAAAATTTTCAAAGCGAAAATTTTTAATAAAAAGTTAGTTAATTTGCATAGTCAGTCGAAATTGTTACGTATTTAACAAAACTATTATGAATTATGTAACAAGTGATGGGTAATGCGCGTGATCCGTGCGCGATTTTTTTATTTCATCAAGCCAATATTTGATTTTATCCTTTATAATTTCGTTTACATAAGCAGAACCTTTTATTTTATTAAGCCCATCTTAATTTGCTTTTTAATTTCGTCTATATTTTCTGATTCATTTATTTTATAAGCCCATCATTATTTTGCTTTTTAATTTCGTCTATATTTTCTGATTCATATATTTCATCAAGCCAATATTTGATTTTATCCTTTATAATTTCGTTTATATAAACAGAGCCTTTTATTTATTAAGCCCATCATTAATTTGCTTTTTAATTTCGCCTATCTTCTGATTAATTTTTTTATCAAAAAACTGCAAATTGCCCATCACTAATCATAACTAGTTTTGAATAAGCTGAAATAGTTTCGGTTACATGTATGAAGATTTAATGCCTTGCAGTATGTGGCTTCTTGTGCCCCATCGAGGGATGCGTCCGGCGAAGGGTGGGCTCTGCATCCTCTGTAAGTAGCCAAGGTAGCTTTTTCTTGGCTCTTCGCTTTCTGACACCCAGGATGCGTCCTGTGGAGAGGTGAGGCGCTGCATCTCGTCATTTAGCCTAAACACAGGTAGACTTTTCTACAAGTATTCACGGATAGGATCACTTGAACCCGCAATTTCGGAATATAACGGCGAAAAGTTTTTTATTCTACCGGTGCCAATTTTTTTTATTAAGGACTACAGATTCTGAAAGTGGAATTTGTTATGAGTCTTCTTTTATAACAAAAAAGTTGGGCTGTAAGGCATTATGATCTAAACTAATTATTTGAAATATCACTCAACCTTTTTGCAAATATTAGTTTTTTAGACCACGGTGTACCACTCAACGTTCACCAATAAAAATCATCTGAACTCACCTACTTGACTAATTCATGATGAATGGAGTACTCCACCGCACAACAAATACTACCACAAAGTCAGTATATTTCTTAAAAAGGATCAAATGTATAATGGGTCAAAAAAAGTAGGCACCTCTGCTTTGGCGGTTTTTTTTTTTTTTTTTGCCAGTCATTTGAGGGTTCTTTGGCATCTTAGGATCCACATCCTTTGACCAGAATTATCATGTGCGGAGATCATTAACGGCATTTTGAATAATCATAAAGTGTATTACGCTTAATTACTTTTTTTGAGAAATTTGGTTGTATTTTCGTTATTAATTTTTTTGAGTTGATTTTTTTTTTGGTTATTCTGGGTTTCACAAATCTCAACAGATTATAGAAGGTACTCTATTTTGCGCTAGTGAATGTGTGAGTGCAATATCACAAAATGAAAGTTGAAGAAAATTAATATAAATTTCATTTTTAGAAAAAGAAGAGAGAAAGGACGGTGGAATAAACACTACGTGGCTGTTTTCATAAAATGAAAACTATTAATATCAAACATCCATTAAAATATCGAATTTCTACTTATCTAAATGGACAGGGGCTTAAGTATATCAAAAGTCGGTAGAGAAAACTGAACTTAGTAAGAAAATGAATTATTTTTATAAAGTGAAGGTTAGTAATTTATGAAAAATCTTTAGTTTTATTACGGAAGAGAGTTTTTATTTCTTTACGATTATATTCAAATATTGTCTACGTAGATTTTTAAACGTGATATTGACGTAACAGGAAATTGTTTTTTAACATTATTGCACGCACTAGAAATGAAAAGACTAAAGCTGAATGAACAACTTTATTGAATCTCATCTAGTGAGTTATTATGATTTTCGGACTTTTTTTATCGTATAGTATGTATAGTATTTTGTAATAGAAAAGGTGTTTTATTGATGTTGCTACAGTTACAGTATTCACAATTAGTCAGTATTTTCTTTTAATGCCCATTTCTTATTTTAATTTATTCTTTATATTTACTAATGGTACTTTATATTCTTTTAGTGTGGTTGAAATATAATCTGTATTAAATTCCAATTTCAGGTCATGCCACGAGATTACGTTATTTCTATACTTTTCGTTACAATGATTGGATCATAAGTTTAATTTATTTATATTTTATGTATATTTTACAAAATATCAAGTTTAGAAATCACAAAAACAAGAATATCATGAAATACAGTGAAGAAACTACTTTGGATATTTCGAAGTTTGAATTCTATTCGAGTGGCATTATTGAAGATAAGTTTTGGTCACTTAAATACCAGTGCTTTTAATTATATCTGAAAATAATAACTCTTTCTATTAGATATCTTTTTACTACGCTGATTTGTGCATAATTTCGACTTTTACAACATACAGTATAATTTTGTTTCGTATTTCAGGAAATCGTGATATAAAATGTTCTCCAAAATTTTAGCGCTGAGAAAGTAGTGACTGATAGGTGGGTAACAGTGTTTCGGCCTAAACCGAAACTTTCGACCCCGAAACCTAGTTTCGCCAGAAACCCCAAATCCGAAACCTCCGAAATTGGTGAAACCTCCGTAACTTCTGAAGCTAACCAGAACACGTGGAAAATTGAGCATAAAATTACATCGGAAACTGGCGAAACTTCCGAAATTGGATGAAATTGGCATAGAGATCCGAAATATTCCGAGTAGAACCTCATTGAACGTAAGGTTGAGAGCAAATTTCCAAAAGAAGTCGTAAATGTGAATTTCCGGAGGTTTTAGAAGCTCAGTTTCGCCCAGTTTCGAAACACTGGTGAGTACTAGAGAATACGAAAATCTAACAAATACCGAGAGGAAAGATTTGGCTTGAGTTTTTAGGACTTGGCCTTGTGGAAGCAATACCCGGGCTCAGATAAGTCTTCTTTTACTTGCCGTATAAACGCGTAATAACGCACATGGGCGTTATTTCGAAATTTTAATTTTTTTAAAAATGGCATATTTGACTCAAAATAACGCCCATGCGCGTCTCAAAATAACATGCCCTCCATATGTGCTAGATTATCTTTTACGTGATATTTTGAATATTCGAATAAATTTGAATATAATAAGCTTAGATTCAACTTCTAAAACGATTACAATATATCTAGAATTTATTCGCCTTATCTCAAAAAATTAAGTACCTTTTTCTAGTTCTATTATGATTTCTCGGGAAAGTTCTCAGTAGTTGAAATTTTTTTCTAAAATTAGCATAATTATTTATCGCACATGCGCGTCCCGAAATAACGCGCCCCTGCGCGTTATTACGCGCTTATACGGTATTTGTTTTATATCTCTTATATATAATATATCAATTTGATACTAATAACTCTATTATATCTTCTATTTTAGATCTATTGCTGGATCACTCTAATTTAAAGCACCACATTAATCAATTTCTCGAACTATACTCGGCAATTTAATTTGAATCAACAACAACTTGCGACTAATTTGAAACAACAACTTGCGACTTTTAACTTCACTACAACAAATGGTCCATCCTTTTTGCTTGAATTATTATTGTTTACGCCAAGACCTATGTCATCATTAGATTTACAAACATCTCTATCCAGTGTTTAAAATTCAGATCGAAACCTACAAACACAAATGCAACTGTGTTATATGTTTTGATTGTACTACTATGTGCATATTAATTTTATTTTTATATACAAATATTTATTATCTCTGAATGATGCTATTTCTATAAATCACTATACCAAATATAACTTACATTTTTTGGGAATGTTTTGAATATTTCTCAAATTTTAAGCTTAAGCTTGCTTTCATTCATTTTCCATTCGGAACTATTTGGACAACGTATCTCTATCCTACCTCATATTTTATAATTTCTCCTGCACATCATTTTTTGCGCAAGCTCCTTATTTAAGTTTAATTGCACACTTGTGCATAGAACTTCTTTTGAACAAAAAAAAACTACTTGTGCAAAGTAATTTTAAACACTGGCTCCATCTTTCTTAATTACACGTAGTTATAGTAAGTTAGTGTGCATAAAGTTTTTTGAATCAATCATGTGCAAGATTTGGAGTGTAATTTAGACCTTCACATTTAATTTTAATAATCACAATGTTCTGACCATACGACTTATTTTATTAACAATATACATGCTCTTAACATATTGCTGCCGTTTGTACGTAAATCAAAAAAAAACTCTACTGTATAAACATTATTTAAACGAAATTTAACATTTGACTGACAATAAATATTACGTCACATTAATTAATTTTTTAATTTTATAAATCTTAAAAAAGCCGACCAGCCGTCTTATATCGTCTTTTGGCAAATTTACTTATTATTTATCTGATTATTTATTATTTATTTAATTATTATTATTTTTTTTATTCATTATATTTATCAATCAATTTATTCTTCATTCAATAAATACATGGGAATAGTAACTAAATGAAACGAACATAGTTGTTTTTTGATGAATTATAAGTGGAGAGAAAAATCTTTAAAAATTTGGAAATATATAGTTATCTATTTAATCTATTTAATCCTTCGGAACTTTCTTCTAGCCTTTCTAAAATTATGGCTCGAAGAACCAAAAACAAAGGTCTAACATCCTCCGCTAGTCTATTATCAGCAATGTTTTTGTCGTGTAGGTGCAAGATATTAGGCACATGAATAGCACCTATCTCATCTTCTGTTGTCACTACGGTGAAAAACCACTTTTCACTGGTAGTGGCAACACCGTTTACATGCCCAACGCGCCTACGTTTCCTAGTATTTATATTTTTATTGGCCTATATAATATAAATTGTAATAAATTATAAATATGTTCTTTTTTAAAAAAAGTTTTATACAGCATAATCATATATAATATATCTTACCGTACAGGCGCATTTTAACTGGACAAGGTTCTGAGTGAACCCATGTTCGATGTCTGAGCTCTTTGCTTCTACTACACAAAGAATTTCCTCGCCCTGGTTAATAGTAAAGTCTAGCCGACCTTTGTGTAGCGAGATGTCTTTACCCTCCTTAACAAATGTGTCCACCACTCCGACAAGAATCTCCGAAATATATTCTGATTTGGTGGATTCATTAGGCAATTGTCGGCAGTTCCAAAAGCCCGCATTTTTTTCTTTTGAAAAAAAAGTCAAATTAGTATTTTATTTAGTTGATTTTGATTTTATATGTAATTCTTATATAAAAGATATATCATACTTTGAGCCCTTTTACCGTCTCTATTACACATTCTTCGAAATTATTAAGGTTTTCTTTTATTTCTATAAAAATAATACTATAAATAACAAGAGTAATATAAACAAACATAGTTATTTATATATTACTTACCAAAATTGATTGGTGGAATTCATTAATTCGTTCGATATTTATATTGAAAACTTTTTCAAGCTGCGAAAAAGTTTTGTAGGATGAAAAAGGCTATAAGTTATTGATTTATATTTAAGAAAGGCAATTCGCATTAGCTAGGATTTATGTACCTTATTTTTTGAGAAGCTTGCAAGTGCTTGCAAGTGCCTTTAATTTTTACATGGCACAGTCTTGCAGGTTTTGTCAGTTTCAAGGTTGTTGGCTTCGGTGGTTGGGGGTTCTTAATTATTTAATAATGTTATGTAATGTTATGAAAGAATTTCGATGAAAATTAAGAGTGGAAATTAATAATGAGATACTGTACGCACATACGCGCGTATTTATTTCGTCTGCAGATCCATGTAAACAAAAATGGTCGTGATTACTGGATTAGTCGATCCCATAACGCGCAATAGTCGCGTGGACAATACATATATCATAATAGGTATACCGTATCATACCACTTGTATAATACCAGTACAAGTTAGCAAATTAAATTGTTTTATCTGTACACATGATAAGATTACAAAAAAATTCCGAAGCCTACCGATATAAACAACTAGAACTTCCGAAAAATTCTAGACTGGGAGTATAACTATGTTTCAAATTTAAACAAAGATACAAATTACAGTAAAAAATTGATTACCAATCCATAGAATTATTAAAGTTTAAAAAATCTGCCATTATCAAAACATGCCACGGTTAATTTTTTTCAAACTTCGAGTAATTTTGTCCCTCATCGAAGTGTTGTTACAAAAAGGAAAACAAAGAAAAACAATTATGGGTTACGTGCTATACCAACTAACAGTACAGAATTCGAGAGTATCGAATGGACTATATATCTAAGCGTAAATTAATAAAGTTTATTATTTTTTTTATTAGTAAAAGACATCAAGTGAATTTTTCATTTTAATCAACAAACTTTTTTAACAGACCACCTTTTTTTATGCCTGCCTTTGAAAATTTTACGATCAATAGAGTATTCAAAGAGATCGCTCAAGCTGATTTGCCATGGACCATTGACTGCAACGAGTTATTATTTTACTTTTTGCATTAAAAGTTTTTATGGAAAATAAAAAAAAAAATTGAGAAGCCCAAGAAACAATATAAAATACTTACCATCTCTTGGCTTTCGCTCAAATGGTAACAAATTCAACTACTCCGTCATTATAGTTGGTGAAATCAGTGAATGGAGTACTAGAAACTACCGAGGTTGTGCTTCACTAGAATTTCGATAATCAGTAACATCTGTTACTTTCTTCTGGATAGACGCTTTTGCTTTTTTTATTTTTCGTTTTTTTTTATTTTTTATTTTTAATTTTTTTTATTAATTTTTAACGATGACATTTGACAAATAATAGAAATCAATAGGGGACTATGACTTCAATGATTATTTTGATTAATCATAATAAATGGGCACTAGTACGATCACTTACTAATCGCATTGAAATTGATGCTTGTGAAGATTTCAATTACATCATAAATTATCATAAATTGCGTATTCAAATTTTTAGCAAAAATTTTTTGTAAATATAATTTTGCTTGAGCACTATTATAATCACTTGCTAATCACATTGAGATTGACGCTTGAGTAGGGTTGAAAATTACATTTTACAATCTTACAATACATGTAATTTTACGTAATTTTCAGTAATCAAATTTCAACTTACATATCACGTTATATTGTACCAGCTTTACAAAAGCTCAGCCAGCATTATTGCATAATCTGATTTATTTAATTTGTAACTCTTCAATCACTGAAAATTTTGATCTCAGAAAGTAAAAATCATGTGTATTACAAATTTCATGAAAACTATGTTACCATAAACTTACACAAAATTACGCAAAATTACGTAAAATTACTGTAATTTTACAACCCTACGCTTGAGAGCGATCAAAGTCAGGTTAGCTGAAAAAGCAGAACTTACCCTTAGGGATGGAAAATTACTGTAATTTTACGTTATTTTACGAAATTTTGTGTAATCTTCTGAAATCAAAATTACATGTAATTTTTATCATGTGAAAAATTTTTGCAAAAATTTTTATAATGCTTGCATTAAAAATAAATAAAAAATTACAATTCCAAACATACTGTAATAATGGATATCTATTAGCGCTGGCTAAACTTTTGTAATGTCGGTAAAATTATCATGTGACAATGTACTATTCAATGTAAAGTTACTGTACATTACAATTTTGTAAGTTATACATGAAACGTAACAAAGTAATTTATATAATACATCCCTACTTACCCTTCCTGGGAAAAACCCCCTTTCCCTTTAAAAACTACTGACGATTGCTAATTGCAAAACTACGTCACTAGCCATTAGGGTGTCCAGGATTCTGCAATTGCAGATATTCTGCAAATTCTGCATTTGTCGAATTTGCAGAATTCACCGAATTTCAGAATTTGCAGAATCCGCAGTTAAATAATGTATTATTATTGGTCTGATGATTTTGAATTTGCAGAACTGAGGCGTAGCTTATTGTTAGCACGAAACAATACATAATAATTGTCTTAAATCAAATCAATAATCCTACATAGAGCTACCAGGCAATATCAGTAGTGCTGGCCAGATTAGCTGCAAAAATCTGTACAATTATGTGCGGAAAATAACGGATAAAAATTGCAGAATTCTGGACACCCTACTAGCCATAAGATCATACAATAAATCATGACAATGCATCAATCGAATTTTACAATAAATCATAACAATGCAACAAACTGCGATAAATCAAATCAATCGATAAATCCCAACGCGGTCAATCAATATACACCTGTAATCAATTCGAGACACAATAATATTTCAATAACCTATCTAAATGTTTTTAAATCAATTTTTAACCAGGGTGATATAACCACCCTATTAAAATTTAGGTTAGGGTGCAGCTTTAAGATATATGGTATTTTCATATAACATAATATATATATTATTAGATATAAGGCCCGCTTTTAGTTCTTGGGTCCCGATCATTTTTTTAGAGTCCCGATCCTATTTACAATACATATAGCACCCTGGTTACGTAACCAGGGCAAGTTAGCAATAATTTATAATTTTTATTTTATTTTAAGGATATTAACTGCAGTTTTTTGATAATCGCCTAAACTTTTTTAAAACTTTAAACGAGGATCCAGATTTTTATTTTAATTCTAAGGATTCATGAAATTAAAATAAAAAAATTTCATCGATTTTAGATTGATATCCTCATTAAAAAATTTGGTAACAATAAAACAAAGACCACGGCTAGGTTTTTTTAAACTTTGAGCAATAATATCTTGATAGCTATCTATCTAATTGATAAAAAAATTTTTTATTATACTTTAATGAATTCATAAAATAAAACAATTATAATCGCCTGATTATGAGAACCGTGTCATGATAGATCCTCAATTTTGATTGGCTAACGGCCGAGGATCTTATAAATTTTGGCCCACATTACATAATTGTTTACTAATTTCCAGCCGGAATTAACTTTTGATTTTTCTTTACAAAAATAGAAATTTTTTAAAAAATAAGCCCGCATTATGGTAAAATTGGCCCAAGAACAATTTTCACATAATAAAATTTCGAGTAGTTTTGGTTTAATTTTTTGACTGTCGCTCTTAGCCAACCAAAATCAAGAATCTGCTGTAATTTTTTTTTTAAAAAAAAAATTGAGCAAGATATTTTTACCACCACCGGACCAAATTCGATGAAAATTTTTTTATTTAATTCTATGAATTTATAGAATTTAAATAAAAATTCATCAAACTTGATCTGATAGTTATGGAGATATTTTCCCTCAAAGTTTTTTAAAAAATTGGCACAGTTTCTATTTTGATAGGCAGTGTGACGGTTGTAATATACCGGCACCCCCAAAATTGCATCATTTCTTATTTTCGCCCTGCCTTATTATTAGGCCACGCAAAGTTAAATTTTCGTTTTGCATTACCCGCCGACCCAAATTTTTCAAAAACCCAAAATTTTT